AAAATAAGCCCTAGGGTGTCTTCTTGAGGAAAAATAAATATAAGACCCTGTCTTATTTTGGGGGAAACACAGTAATAAGCAACTTAAATTCAACAAGTCCAAAACTGGACTCTTGAACATCTAACTGTGCTCCACCCACAGACTCCCCATCTCAGCTGATGGCAATTCCATCCTTCTAGTAGCTCAGGACAAAATATTAGTCTCCCTTGACTCTTTTACTCTCTCAAACCACATCCAACCCATTAGGCCATATTATAAAACATCCTAATTCAACCCTTTCTACAACCTCTGCTACTACTATCCTACCATATCTTGTTGTAATTATTTTAATACTCTCCCCTAAATGGTCTCTCTGCTTCTTTTTTTCCTACTATTTACTCTTTACATGACATCCAGACTGATCATTTTAAAATATAAATCAAATCATGCTATTTTTCTATTCAAAACTCACTAAAGACTGCTCACTTCATTCAGTCAAAAGTCCTGACAATGGTCAACATGCCCATGTTAATATTTTGATTTCCCCTGCTTCAATCCTCCTCCCACTCATTTCATTCTGGCCACACTGGCTTCTCTTCCCTAAACTTATAGGTACACACCTGCCTTGGGCCTGAGCACTGAACACCTCTGCTCTTCCCCAGGTGTCTGCTGGCAAACTGCTAAGTCTTTGCTCAAGTCTCACTTTCTTAACAAGGCCTATATGACCTCTGTATTCAATCTCCAATCTCCCCACCCCTATACTCCTGATTTCTGCTCATGGTGGAGTCCTGTGTAGACTGGCAGAGGGCTGTGCTTCAAGCATGGACCCAGCCTCCTTCCATTTAAGGGCTCCTGCCACAGCTGGTTCCTTTGGAGACCTTTCCATTTGTCAATGTATATCGGCAGTGGGAGGGCAAAGACAGAGAGGCCTGCTTTAAACTGCCTTGGCTGAGAAGTGTTTTTTATACACACGCACATCTATATAATATTAATATAACCCATCCTCCAGATGGGACCCATATGACTAGTTCTTACCAATGGAATTTGTTTACAAAAAGGAAAACATGAATACACTTCAATCAGCAAATACCTTTTTGTTCCCTTTTTCTACACACACAACACACTCAGCTCCTCCCACCATACTACACACGCCCAGAGAGAAAATCTGAAGGCCTATTCAGTCAGTGTATCCAGGCTCTCTGGACACTGCCTAGTCTTTTCTTTACAAGGATCACGTGTAACTTCTTCAGATACAATCTATGAACTAAAACAGCAATTACATGCATGCCCCCTTTGACTCCTAATATGCAATGATGTAACAACAGGAGCAGGAGGGTCTTCCCTACCAATACCCTCCTTGGCTAAATGTGCCCTGGCACATCCTCCTGAGGGGCTGCACAGCCTTTACAACCCACCAACCAACCCTGCCAGAGCAAGTTCTGGGTTCTTTTTATAGTAGTTTTATAGCTCAAATAGTTAAGGGCTTGTTCAGTCCAGGCTCATGGTTTCTTTGCCAATATAATTCCCTCAGAAACTTAGGAGGCTTTTGATCTATTTGTTTCCAGTCAGTTCCATGTGCCAGTAACCACACACAAAGTTCTTTCCTAGATATAATTCTCAAAACTGATGTATTTCTTTGCCTCTACACCTCTTGCCTTCAATTAATAGAAGCCACCTGGAGGCCACATGAAACAACAAGGTCAGTGGTTTCCAACTCTGGTAGTATAACAGGATCACTTGGGGAACTTTTAAAAACTGTCTATGTCCAGGTTTCACATATCTCAGACCTGTAAATCAAAAGCTCCATAGGTGGAACCAAGGTGGTTCTGACAAGCAGCTGAGAATAAGAACTGATGCCTTTCTTTCATCTGATCTTTGCCATGGGACTGAGTCACCTTTTTCAACTGAGAAAGTTCACTCAACCTGTGTTGCTTAAAGCCTTTCTCAGTTCTCTGCTCTTTGTTTTTCCGTTTACTGCCCCAACAGTCAGAACTTTCTCTGTTCTCTTTAGTTTACAGCTTGCAAACTAGCCAATTCTTTCTAAGCTCATCTCTTTCTTGTATCACCTTACCATTAATAGTCTCACATTTGGATCCTTTCCAATATTGACCTAGAGCTCAGCTGGCATGAGGTGTGCCTCTCAAGTCATCACAGATGACAAATTTGCCAAATTAGTTACCACTACATAATATGGGTTTCTGTCTTTTCCTTTCCAATATCATTCCCTCAACAGTGTGCCACCTGACTGCTAAGCCAATGCCCAAATGTTAAGGTTTTAATAGAACTCTATTTCTAGCACTAAAACCTCAGGGACTTAACACAAAGTTTTATCATGCTCCCATCATAGAGGTTGGTGAATATTCTTCTCCATTTTAGGACCCAGTTTCCTTTTATTTTACAGTTTCACCCTCCACTGGGTCCTAATGACATTCTCTCCTCCAAGGTAGCAGAGAGGCAGAGAAGGCACCTTGCTATTAACTGTCTTGTTCTAAGAAGACATGTATCATTCTGTTCATATTCCACAAGCAGGAACTAGTCACATGGACCCACTTAGCTACCTGAGGGCTGAGAAATGTAGTCTAAGTGTGTGCCCAGCATGAACAAGAAAACAGTGAAGCTGACCAGCCCTGGCAGCCTCTTTCATACTCTCTCTTAAACTCCTCATAGAATTTAAGCTCCACAAGGGCAATAATCTTTGTCTGGTTTGTTCATAGATGTATCCCAAGTGCCCCTTATAGGACCTAGTACATAGTAGGAGCTTAAAAAATATCTTTTGGGTTAATAAATGGACAGGATAAATCACAGATATGGTACCATTTGGTATTATTTGTATAATAAAAGCAAACTAAATGGACCAAAAACTAAAAACATAATGAATTATACTGCATAGTTACTTAGACAAAATATTAAACAGAAACTTTTAGGAGAACCAAAATAAACATCTAGGTACTAAATCCTCACACATCAAATACAAATTCATATCCACACTGGTTAAACACACACTAAATTCATCTGTTGTGAACATATAGAAACATTCATTCAAAATGTTAGTATAAACACAGTAGACACCCATCAAAGAAATTACTATTAAACTAATTTAGACATCTTTATGTTAGCTAGAAACATCTTTACCCAGCTCCAAAATTCACCCACATCTTCCTCAAAGAGGAAGGACACAGAATCTTAATTTTGAAAACAAATTACATGTTGACACACATACTGTTGAAAGGCCCTACCACTATGTTTCTACTGTATATAACACATATACCCCTCAAAATTCAGAACTGATACATTTATACCAGCTTCAAAACCAGAGGTGATAATACTTGATTTTTTAAAAATCTTAAGTCATTGTAACAAAAATAAACAAAACAAAAAAACAAAGCTGAAATAAAAATAAGAACAAATGGAAACAAGACCTGCTTCATAAGCGCTGTAGGGATCAAACAGGGACAGAATTCATTTGTCATTTTTGTACTTTTCTGTATGTATAACACAATGAAAAAATTCAACAGAGTATATGAAAAAGTGCTTTGTAACAGTATTCAGTCACTTACCTTCACATAAATATAAAATCTCCATTCCTAAAAGGGTTATAAATTAGCCAAATGAGAAAGTTCAAATTGGGGGGAATATGAAGTTCCTCATTCTAACCCAAAATCTAGAATGATAATTTTTCAGTAGAAACATATCAGTGAGCCCAATTGTCATGAAAGGTAAAAGAGCAAAACCTATCTCAGTGTAAAGAGTTAGATTCTAAACAAAAAACAGTGGAAGCAACATTAACAAATCAATTAACACAGGAGGGTACTTGCACTTTAAGAAAGAGAAAAGTAACAATTTGAAAATCTGTAAATTCTCTCTATTCAATGAAAAAGAGAAGAAATTACTGGTTTTTCCCCTTTTTTTTCTTAAAGATTTTAAAAAATGGCTATTCAACAAATAAAAAGACATATATATTGGAATTCACAACATAACAAAAACCCAGGAGAGAATATTCAGTTAAATTAAATTTTATATTATAATTGAAGCCTATCTAATAAAAAATACAGATCTGTAACAAGTTGTCAAAAATGCAGGAAATAGAGTTAAGTGTACACATGGGTTGAAGCTTGTTATATTTTTTCTTCAGCTAATCCCTGATAAGATTTTATTTGCCTTTTCTTGGTTGAGTTTTAAGAAGACTAAAGGGATAATAAAATTGGTTATTAAAGCTTTCTGATACTTGAACACCAATAGGATAAGCAGGCGTAAGAACTTAGATTCTGAATTATACTTGTGACCCTGTATATTTTTCTAGCAGTTAGCAAACCAACCAACCAACAATAACTAGAGGAAAGGTTTTAAAACATAGGCTATAGCAATTTTTTGGAAAGAAAACTATGGCATTTTAAAAATTCACAATAAATTTAAAGAAGGGAATAATTGATGATGAGCATGTTACATAATTTATAGATACCATAGAAAAATCAGATATTGAACTCCACCCAAATATTATTTTAAAAACCACTTTTGAAGGTAAAGACACCAACATGGCAAAAATACAATATTTTCTCCAACATTAGAGAGGCAAAAATTTAATTCCTTTATTTCATGTAGTTTTCTTTGCAACATTTAAACCCTATAAATATGAGGAAGTTTTGTTTGCAAAAAGAACTTTAAATCTTACATAAAGTTCAAAAGAATAAGCATTTGGAGGGATATCCCTTGTACAATTTTAAAATAAGAAAAAACTTACTTTTTACTTTGGAAAGAGGGCATTGCAATATTTCATTTTACTAAATAAAAGGGATCATTTCAAATGTAGTAATATCTTTATCTCCTAGAATTTTTTTAAATTCTGCTTTTAAAATCAAGTGAAGAAGCATTAGATTTTTGCAACCCTAGCATAAATGTTAGGGTTAAGATTTTATTATACTACATCCTTATTTGGTAGATATCCATCAGAAAACTAGCCTATGTGCTGTTACTGATGAAACAGATTAATACTCAGGGACACAGAGCAAACACGAAGCAGTTACCCAAGAGGAATGCTCCTTCATCTGGTGCTGGTTGCTGTGAGGGCCACTGGCATGACCACGCCAAAAGCAATTCTGGCAGAGCTGATAGTTGTGGCACTGCTGGCACCGGTACCGGAAACCCATCATACTCTCACACCGGCAATAGGAGCACTCCACAGGATGGAAGACTGTGGACCGAGAAAAAGGGAGAGAGAGAAGGGGAGGAGAGGAGGGATGGATAAGAAAAAAGGAAGAATTTTCATTTGGATAATAAAGTCAATACAGAAGAAAACCAAATCTAATATTAATATAAAAGGAAAGGTGAAAACAAAATTAGAACTCAAGAATCTAAATTGTCTGTTCATCTAATCAGCCATTTACTAGAATAAAAGGAAAAGACTTAATAAATTAGAAAATAATTTTCCACATAAGACTATTACATTCCAATCTAATAATCATTTTAATATGCTATCATGGGTAATATACAACTGTATATAATAGGTTGTTATTTACACTTCTAAATGTTGGTACATAATTGCTTCCTCTGGCAATTCAATTCTGAACACAAGAAATGAAAGTCAATAGGAAAGAGGGGCATATTATTTAAATTTTCACGGAACAACTCTTTCTAGTATCATGTATATAATATCCATCTTATCTCAAGTATAATGATTTTTAGTCCTGCTCCCAAAAATGTATATTAACTAGGGAATCAAGACTCAAAAACAAATTGAACACCAGGTAAGCAAAACAATATACCAAAATCACAAAGGACTAAAAGAAAAGTAAAATCAGGAATGAAAATTCCAAAGTACATAACTTCCTCTGAAAAATTCAAGCTATCTGCCATCAAGGTATTTCCAAGGCATGTTGAGGGTGCTAATTAAGAGTGTGTGCTCCAAATTAAAACTATACAGTATAGTATATAGTTCCTCCAGAGAACAGGACTACCAAGTGAAACTAGAGCTAACATTAATGCCATCAACATCGCTGCAGCCAATATTTGTAATTCTAAGTAATTTGGGTTAATATTAAATGATACGTGTATATTAATATTATCAAATATAATATGATAATTTTGGTTGAGTATGTATATCTATGTGATTTTCTTCTATTCTCTTCTGAATCAGGCAAGAGCCAGTGCTTAGTCAGAGGAATGGGTAACCAAGTGGAAAAGCTGAGAACCAGAATGAAGAAAGGATCAGTCTGGGCCAATTATAAACAAGAAAGATAAGAACTGTCCAGGTTCTGGCAAAAGTACGATTTGAATAAAGTGCATCATGTAGTAGTTACCTTCTTACATACTATACACTTGGGTTAGTAAACCAATATACAAAGTATAACTTTTGCTTGAACAAATAAATATTTTTCCTTATGAATAGTAAGTTCAAAATAATTCAAGGGATGAATTTCATAGGAATTAAACAGTCTAAACAACAAAAACATTTAGAAATATCACAATTTTATAATTTGTTTCTCACCATTAAAATTAAGACATACAAATGTTAGTGTGATAGGTAACATTTTATTTCTAGATATTCCAATGATTTCATAACATTTATCTGTCACTGAGAAAAATAATATTGCTAACCACATAAGAATGAAATCAATAAATAATATACTACCATACAAAATCACAATAAAATGGATAACAATACATCTTAACAAACAAGTCTCTTTCTGCTTGGTATAGCAGATACAAAATGATTTTACAAAAATCAACTGTATACAAAACTACTAAAATACTTAAGGCTATAAAAACACTGCCCCCCAAAATTGAAATCTCTATTAAAAATCCTGTTTCAACAGCACTCTGGGAGGCCAAGGCGGGAGGATCGCTCAAGGTCAGGAGTTGGAAACCAGCCTGATCAAGAGCAAGACCCCGTCTCTACTAAAAATAGAAAGAAATTAATTGGCCAACTAAAAACATACAGAAAAAATTAGTCAGGCATGGTGGCACATGCTGTAGTCGCAGCTACTCGGGAGGCTGAGGCAGAAGGATTACCTGAGCCCAGGAGTTTGAGATTGCTATGAGCTAGGCTGACACCAAGGCACTCTAGCCAAGGCAACAGAGTGAGACTCTTGTCTCAAAAAAAAAAATCTTGTTTCAAATATGTAGCTGTTTTAGTCAAGAGATTATTCTGGTTCTTTATGAAAATTAATCCTGAATCTAAGGGACTTGTGAACTAAAGCCACAGTTGGGTAACAGGCTGAGAAATTTAAAAAAAAAAATTTAAAGTATGGATAGAAAAGGGAGAAAATAAAAATTGTATGAAAGTGTACTTCATTCTTACAAGAGAGAAAAAGAAGATTCTGCTTTTTAGTGGCTTCTCAGCTATTCCTTGTTCTCTTCTGTGGAATGAGGAAAGACAGGCAAGAGCCTTGAGAGAAGGGAGGTTGCCAGAAAAACTATGGCCTTCTCGTTAATAAATTCAGACAACCTAAAGAAGAAGATAAACTGATGGCAATAATAGAAAAAGTAAAGAAGTTACTCAGAGGTAAGTACAACTTCAATTCAATGCAAGACACGAGATTTAAGTTAAATTACTGGGAAGGACACTAAGAGTATACTCAAGGCAAAATGGTAAAGGAAAAAAGTGGAAGATGTATGAAATCCAATACTAAATTATATCTTAGCTATTTTTATTTAAATTATTCCAAAATAATTATAGTTTTAGCAGTTGATATTTCACATATCCAATTTTGGGGGGGGTTGTTTTTGATAAATTAAAGGGGAAAAAAAGGAAGCCATAGCTAAATTAGGTGGGCTTACCCAGAAAACAATCATCTGCAATCTGAGAAAAGAAATGCCTACAGTTTGAACCACAAAGTATTATGATCTGGTATTACTACTTCTTTGTATCCTAAGTAACAAGCCTTGCCCCTTTTTTAAAAGAAATAAATATTCCTCTTTTGAAAGCCAAAACCACAAATTCAAACAATAGAGTGACAGCAAAATGTCAGGTCTAATTTTCAATAACAGAATAGCTAAGGACATTACAAATAATCAGTTCCTGCACTTCCTATCACATGAAGAACTGAACGATAAAAGTTTTGCTTACCATTCTCAACATGGGCAAGCCTGTGCATGAGAGGTAGCCAGACAAGGCACTGGGGAGGAGGGTCGGCCATCATTGTGTCTAAAAACATATTTAGCATTATCTTTTTCTGTGAAGAGAAGAAAAACAAAGATACTTCATATTTTTCAATTATCTCAACTCCAAGATTAATTTAGGGGTTTCCCATCCAAGTTCTAATGAATTACATGTGAAATTTTTTTTTTTTTGAGACAGAGTTTCACTCTGTTGCCTGGGCTGGGGTGCCATGGCATCAGCCTAGCTCACAGCAACCTCAAACTCCTGGGCTCAAGCGATCCTTCTGCCTTAGCCTCCCGAGTAGCTGGGACTACAGGCACGGGCTACCATCCCTGGCTAATTTTTTCTATATGTTTTTAGCTGGCCAATTAATTTCTTTCTATTTTTAGTAGAGACGGGGTCTCGCTCTTGCTCAGGCTGGTTTCAAACTCCTCACCTTAAGCAATCCTCCTGCTTCGGCCCCCCACAGTGCTAGGATTACAGGCATGAGCCACCACACCTGGCCACATGTGAAATTTTAAAGTGACATTAATATTTTACATTACTACAGACACTGTAGTATTTTACATTACTACTACACACTGTACTACACTATGTCTATATTCAAATATAAACAACTGTGTAAGGTAAACAGGTTAGATATTACTGTCTTCATTTCATAGCTGAGAAAGTAAAGGAACAGAGCATTTAAAGGTTTTGTGGTAGCTCTACCCGAATAAACACAGAGCCAGGACTGTCCTTAAGATTCCTATTTCTGCTGTCCTGTGGGGGAGACAAACATCCCACACCTGATTATAAACAGCATCAATGAAAGCAGGAACTATGACTGTCTGGTTGTCTATCGTATTTCCAGCACTCACAACAGTGCCCAGCACACAACAGGCACCTGATAAATAACTATTGAATAAATAGTAAAGGGGAAATACTCTTAGACATCATTTAACAACTTTCTCACTTAAAGAAGAGAAAACAGAAGCTTGAGGTAGTTGGGTAATTTGACAAAGTTGCAGAGATAGTTACGATAAGGATTAAATCAGAACCTAAATATCCAAACGCCCATCACAGTACTCCCTCTCCATCGTACCATCTCCCTAGCTAGACTACATTTGTCGATTCTTTTTCTTTTTAACAAATCTGTTGTAAGCTTCCACTGTATGTGAAACATTGAAATAATTATATCCCACGTGGACACAGAAAATTAGAAAACAGTCTAGAAAGAGAATAGAAATAGTTATATGGGCCGGGCGCAGTGGCTCACGCCTGTAATCAATCCTAACACTCTGGAAGGCCGAGGCTGGCAGATTGCTCGAGGTCAGGAGTTCAAAACCAGCCTGAGCAAGAGTGAGACCCCGTCTCTACTATAAATTAAAAAAGAAATTAATTGGCCAACTATTATATATAGAAAAAATTAGCCGGGCATGGTGGCGCATGCCTGTAGTCCCAGCTACTCGGGAGGCTGAGGCAGGAGGATCGCTTGAGCCCAGGAGTTTGAGGTTGCTGTGAGCTAGGCTGACGCCACGGCACTCACTCTAGCCTGGGCAACAAAGTGAGACTCTGTCTCAAAAAAAAAAAAAAAGTTATATGATGTAGATAGAACAAATCCTGTATAATATTTCAAATTAATGAATTTTCTTTTATTTTCTCCAACCCACAACATACCTTTACAGCGCCAAAGGGAAAAGAAAAAAAAAGCTGAAAACGCAGTTCCATACAGCTTGACGAGAGAGTTTTATAACTATAACCTGGAAACAAAGGCCCCCACTTCAAACTTTATTTCAAAAGAAGGGCAGAGATAAAAGAGCAAACACAACAGCAGATGTACAGCAGTAAGCAGGCCTTTTCCACACTTTGGTCCCACCAAAGGTCTGGTAGGGACTGGAGATTGGGGATAGGGTGAAGCCAAAAGGACCCCCAGAATTTCATCTCACTCTATCCCAAGTAACTGTGTTCTCAGCCCTACCACTTTTCTTAAAGTGAAAAACGGGCTATAAAAAATATGAGCGTTTCCCCATAAAACTTACACTTTATTTTAGAAAAGAAAAAGGTAGAAAAGATAAATTGATTAGAGCTGACCTAAAGATATCACCAGCTGATTACCAAGTAACTCTGACTTTTTACCACTAATATATTTAACATAAACTGGAAGTCATTCTGATTGAGAACAATTGTTAAAAGAAGAAACTGGTAAAGAACGGAATAGAAAAGGGAGGTATAATAAAAGGCAGAGCAGGAAGTTTTGCAATAAAAACCCAGAAAAGATGAAGAAAGCTGAGGGAGAGTCTCAGACCCAGGCTTAGACTGCAGGCCAGAACGGCCAGGGGCTAGGGGGATGCTGTTGGGAGACGCTGAGATGTATGCAAGAAGGCTGACTGAGGATGACAGCAGCATGCACAGTCCTCTACACATCGCTGTGTGCTGATGGTAAACTGTGAGAAATGCCCACTGGAATAGGCTAAAGAAAGGTTATCCAAAGTGTTTTCCATTGCAGGCACTCAATTTAACCACTGTTTCTGAGACCTAAGTGGAATCTGGGAGGAATAAATGAACAACATTAAAAACCAGAAAGCCACCTAAAATTTAAGTAGAGGACTAGACATGCTAAGCGTCTTGTATTATGGCCATGTAAATAACCAACAAACCAAAGTGCAATCAGAATGTCTATTTAAAGTTACTGAGATAGAAGATGCTAGGAAGTGTTTTTAGCAAGAGGTGATAAACAACAATTATCATATTCTTTATTATAAATTTAATGTTTAAATTAATATTTCTATATCTTCTTATATTTGTTAAAAATTACATTTTTATAATCCACTTATAATTCTAATGCTTTCTCTAAAAAGTTTTGATTTGCCTACCATGGAGGTTTTTTAAAATCTTCAAGATGAAGATGTATAATTATCTTATCATATCACATGATCAATTTCTAAGATTGTCCTTCAGTCATACTATAATTTGAAGTTCTCCAGAAGCATGAAGAATTAAACTAGAAGAGCTGTGTCCCAGTGCTCTCTGTTTTCTACCATGTGATTTGAGGAATATCACTTAACATTTCTGGGTTTCAATTTTCTCATCTCTGAAGGGCTGGAGCAGAGGTTTTCCAAGTGTGATCCAGGCAACCGCTAGAAGTTCTTTAAACATTCTCAAGGAGTTCATGGGGCTAAAACTATTTTCATAATAATATGAAGACATTATTTGTCTTTTTCAATCTCATTCTCTCATGAGTATTCAGTGGGGTCTTCAAGAGTCAATGTGATGTAGCCACAATTATCTGAAAATACTATTAGAAGTCTCCTCCCTTTCCAACTATTTAGTTGTTTGAAGCCAGATTTTCTTCCTATAATTTAGCCAAAACAATATATCATAACAGATTGAATGGATAAGCAGATATGGGAATTCATGTCTTTTACTGAACCAAATATTTTTAAAATTTACAAAAATATAAAACAATGCCACTCTTCTCATTAAATTTTTGTTTTGGAATATATAGTTATTTTTCATAAAATGTTAACATGTAAGGTTTATCACTTATTTTTAAATGACTTAATATTTTTTAATTTCTCAATTTTAATTTCTAATATGAAAATATTGACAGACATAACCCACATAAATAAAAGTTCTCTGTGGCCTTCAATAATTTTTAGAGTGTAAAGAGGTCCTAAGACCAAAAATTTTGAGAATTGTTGGGGGAGACGTTCCAACTGTAAAATTTCATGACTCAACTGTGTGAAATGTAGTTTGGCTTTGTTTCCCCCTATCTTTTTGTTTTGTTTTGTTTTGTTTTGTTTTTGCTCTTGAGTTGAACACACTCTTTGCATTTCTCCTTATTTTTTATAGTACAATATTAATAAAAACTATAATAAAAATGAAAATAATGCACATTCTCATAATTCTCATTTTCCTCTATTTCCCTACAGATGTGTATATATTTCTACATACTTATGAAGATAGAGTAGATATAAAAAATCTGTTTTTTCACTCAACGTTTTATTAAGCATTTTGTTTTGTACAAGGTCTTCATTTCTAAGCATTTTAACAGCTGCCTGATCTACTAGGCAAAAACACCATGATTTATTTGCCTTCCTCTGTAAAACATTGAGACGGTTTCTATCGTTGTATGAGGTCTCATTTTTTCTTAGAAACAAGTGTTTTTGTCTGTTGCTCCTTTTCTTCCAATCTTCCAGACTGACGATTATTATCTTATATTCCATTCTTACCTCCCTTCCTCTACCTTGAATACCTGTTCTCTTTTTTTAAGGGAGAAGGAGCCATCCCTTAAAAATGAGAAATCCAGTTTCACTAAAATAACATGATAAAAATATGTAAAATAATTTAGCAATAGATTATCATTTCTGTAATCTCCAACTTCATCATTTCCAACAAAAACTCCTTTCCTATGAGCAACATATACTAATAAATATGTCTTAACTGTTGCCCTATCACTTAAACAGTGTAAGAGATTTAATTAACAGTCTTGAAATGGCATTTTTAAAAGCTTTCAGATTAAAATATTTTTATACAAACTTTTGTGTACAGTTATAGAAATATTTTATCTGACAGGGGCAAATATACATTAACAGAGTAACAGGGCCAGTGCTGTGGTGCTGTCTTTCAAATATTATTAGACACTGAATTTATCCATATCAGATTTATTTTGGACTTTGAAATTAACAATAATTTGTAATGATATAATATAATGTTGCTGTGCTTTTATTAGAGATACTTTTATTATAACTAAAAGAAAAAGTAGAAAAACTTCAGAAATTCTGAAATATTGTATTTCTCATTGCAAACATTGTTTTCTTTTAGAAAATCATGGAATGTTATCAATGAAAACACAGAGGTTACAAGTACATCTGTGAGCTTTAAACTTTCAATTAGAATTCAAGCTAAAAATACTAATTTTTTATGTCATACTTAATTTAAACTCATTATTCAATTATTCCAACAAATATTTAGTAAGCATCGATTATTTTCTAGACACTGTCAGTCACTGGGGATGTAAAATGGAAGACCAAAGTCCCACCCCTCAGGGCATAACTGAGCTATATGTAATATGCCCTGGGAGTACATCAG